ACCCGCTCCCCGAGGCGCAACTCGACCGCTTTATGTTCCTGATTGAACTGGACTACCCGACGACCGAGCAGGAAGAGATCGAGATCGCACGCAGCACGACGGGCGACCCGCTGCCAACGCTCGACCCGCTGATGGACGCCGACGAGATCATCCGGCATCAAAACCTCGTTCGCCGGATTCCCACGCCGGACCACATCTACGCCTACGCGGCGCGGCTGGTCCGCAAAACACGGCCGAACCACGCCGACGCCCCCGACTGGCTGCGGCCGTTGGTGGCATGGGGTGCGGGACCGCGGGCGGTGCAGAACCTGATCCTCGGCGCCAAAGCGCGGGCCGCGCTACATGGGAGTTATATGGTGCGGCTGGAGGACCTTGAAGCCGTCACGGATCCCGTCCTCACCCATCGCATCATCACCACGTTTGCCGCCCAGGCAGAGGGGATCGACGCGAAGGGGGTCGTACGACGGCTCGTTGAAGAGGCCGACAGCGATCGTTAAAGTCTCAACGCGGAGGGCTCCTGTGTTTCATGGCTGTCGATGATTCATCGCGATCGTTCCTGGAACCTGAGGTGCTTGCTCGCCTTGCGAGCGTGCCGCTGTTCGCGCGTCGCCCAATGCATGGAAACGTCTCGGGCAAGCACCGCAGCCCCCACCGGGGATCCAGCGTTGAGTTTGCCGAGTACCGGAAGTACGTCCCCGGCGATGACCTGCGTCGATTGCACTGGCGGGCGCTGGCGAGGACGGGCCGGCAGTACGTTAAGGAGTTCGAGGCCGACACGAATCTGCGGTGCTGTTTCGTCGTGGACACCAGTGGTTCGATGCGTTTCGGCTCGGGCTACGAGGGGGGCCTCTCGAAGATCGACTACGCACGCCGCTTAGCCGGCGCACTCGGTTACCTGGCGGTGCAGCAGGGCGACGCCGTCGGGCTGACGTGCGTTTCGGACACGGTCGTCACCAGCATCCCTGCACGCCGGAACCCCGCTCACCTCCGGCACGTCTTCGACACGCTTGAGAAGGCGAAGCCGGCCGGGGGGACCCGACTTGTGCCGGTCCTGCACGAACTGGCCGAAACGATTCGGCAGCGCGCGCTCGTGGTGATCGTCTCGGACTTTTTCGTACAGCCAGACGAGCTGCGAGAGTGCTTCGAGCACTTCCGATTCCGGAACCACGACCTGGCGGCATTCCACCTGCTAGACCAGCAGGAGTTGGAGTTTGATTTCAAACGCCCGATGCGGTTCGTCGATCTGGAAGGGGGAACGAGCATCCTCGCCGAGCCGACCGAGATCGCTAACCTGTACCACAAAGCGCTCCAGTCTTACCTGACGGCGATCAAACAAGCCGTCCTGGAGACGGGCGTCGACTACCACGCTGTGCAGGTCGACGAGCCTTACGACAAGGCGCTGATGCGGTTCCTCGTGGGACGCACTCAGAGGGTCGGAGTCCGATGAGTTTCCTCCAGCCATGGCTGCTCTGGGCGTTGCCGATCGCCGGGCTGCCGATCCTCATTCACCTGATCAACCAGCGGCGCTACCGGACCGTCGAGTGGGGCGCCATGCAGTTCTTGCTGGCGGCTAACCAGATGTCTCGCGGCTTTGCCCGGGTCCGCCAGTGGCTGATCCTGGCGATGCGTGTGCTGGCGATCGCGGGGCTGCTCTTCGCGATCAGCCGCCCTCTGGCCAGCGGTTGGCTTGGTCTGGCGGCTGGCAGCAAGACCGACACTACCGTGGTCTTGCTGGATTGTTCGCCCAGCATGCAGAGGCAGGAGGCCGGAGTCTCGAAGCTTGACACGGCCCGTCGGCACCTGGCCGACGTCCTTTCGACGCTAAGCTCCAACCGCTGGGTGCTGATCGACAGCGCCTCGGAAACGCCTCTCGAACTAGAAGCGTCAACCGACTTGCTCGAGTCGCCTCACGCAACCGGCGTCAGCGCCTCGGCCGACCTGCCCGCGATGATGCAGTCGCTATACGACTACATCAAGGCCAACAACCCGGGCCACACCGAGGTGTGGATCGCTTCGGACCTCCGTGAGAGCGACTGGCAGAGTGACAGCGGCCGTTGGACGTCGCTGCGTGAGGCGCTGCTGGAGTTCCCTCAAGAGGTCCGGTTTCATCTGCTCAACTACGGCGATAACGCCGCCAACCCAAACTCCCCTCCCAACTTGTCGGTCCGCGTGACCGAAGCCCGACGGGTCGAGGTCGGGAGCGACGCGGAGTTGCTCGTGTCGGTCCTGGTGACGCGTGACGCTGAATGCCCCGACG